GAGAGAGAGAGCTAGCGAGAGAGAGATGGAGAGGTTGGCACGTTTTCTTTAGAACAAGAACCCACTTAGAGGAGGTGCTCTTGCGGATGTTTAAAAGGGAGCCTTGATTGTCAGAGTGCAGTTTGGGGGACCTGCGACAATTTACCTTCGCTAAGTAGCACGACCTCCATGTCAATGTCAAGTCCCCAGAACCACGTCGTGAAAGCCTGCAGACTCAGCTAAGGGGCCGGAGGAACATCGTAGGCCGGCTGATGGGTGGGCTGAAAACTTGGGGAGTCATAGAAATTGTCGGGGGGTGCCAGATCCGGGTAGGCGTGGGCTGCATCGGGGGCAGGCTGGTTGGGGGTGGGCTCGTGGGGCTGGGGTGGGCTTTGAAGTGCAGGGTACGGATGTTCCCCAGGCATGGGGTGGCTGTGTGGGTATTGTTGGGTGTACGGTGACGTCATGTGATCCATGCCAGGTGCTGTGCCTCCGTTGCAGTAGGTGGATGCGCTGGGTTGGCTTTCATACATGGCGGGTGCTGTGGGGTAGGTGTTTACCGGAGGCATGTGCTGAGCTGGAATCTGGCTGGGGAGAACCTGACTGCTGCTGCCAAAGCCTCCTGCGTTCACGTCGCCATAGCGCATAGGAGCTGCGCAGCTTTGGGAGAAGGAACCCATGGAAGCCATGGCCGGCTGTGGCGGCGGCATGTGGCCAGTGCACCTAGGCTGACGAAGTCTAAACCCCCAAGCACTCACCCTGGACCCGAAGTGACATACTGAAATTGCATACTTCGCCATGCGGAGCTTTCCAAAAGATCGCGAAGTTGGATTGTGCCCAACCCTTGAAGAAAAACACGTGCATCTGAAACCTCTAGGATTCCAGGAACTGGCAGTCTTTATTTGTGAAGAGCACCAACAGCAAACTGAAGACTTACTAGGGTTAGGGGTTTAGGGTTTAGCGTCACAAAGATAAAAGATCGGAGGCAACCTGGGCGACAAACCGTGCCCAAATACCTTGAACACCCTGGCTGCTAACCCCACTCGAACAAGGAGTGCAGCAATGATCCTACTGTCGGTGAACAGCGTCGGAGATAAAGACTGTACCATGGTTCCTACAGTTTGGGATACTAAGGGACAGGAGACAGCCCCCCACAAACAATAATCAGGGCACCACAAACGGAAACCTAGACCCAGAGAGCCCAATTCCCCTTGAAGGAATATAGCTTAAATCATAGTATGAAGCTTCTTACAAGTTAAGCTATATTTCTTATTCAAGGGGTATTTGGGCTCGCTGGGGAGCCCTAAAGCCCCGGAACAACATTCTAAACTGTAAACTCATATATTCCTCTATGTCATCGGGCCTTACCCTGAACTGTGGGAAATTACGGCATATTCCTTATTCTCGGCAATGCAGGAAGCCCTAAACCCCCCCCCCCCCCCACCCTAAACATTTATTATGGGGGAGTTACTGTACACTCCCTATTCTGGGTATTAACCCTCAACCCTAAACTTTGCTTATGGGTAATGCAGGTCTTCTATTATCAGCCCTAAACCCCAAAACCCCTAAAGCCCAAACCCCTAAACCCTAAACCCCTAAACCCCTAAACCCTAAACCCCTAAACCCTAAACCTCCAAACCCTGAAATTGAGACCCCCAAACCCCCCAAACAA